ACAAGAACGAAAAAGTGCTCCATTGAGTTTCCGATCAGTTCTGAAAATGCGAAGCCCTAGCGACTTTTAGTTTTTATTTCACAGCATTTCTATGGAAAGCCCAAAAAGAGGGGAGGGGTACCCTTAAGTTCCGAGAATCAATAGGCTTCATGCAAATAAGACGTATATATACAATTCTTTTCTCTTTTTGTATACTATATATATAGCATATATTAAGACTGTTAACTTTTTCGTAAATCTCAATTTTCTCAGCCATTTTTCAAGTGATCAAAGGGAATTTTAGATTCCGAAATAGAGGAGACAATTCTCTATCCAACTATGTAAAAACTTTTCAAAAATAATTTAGTTTGACTTAATTACAATGATAAAAAGGTTCAAATACGCTGCGTTTTTTACACCCTCGAAGAAAAAAAGTTTTTTTGACGGACCAAACTAAAATGTTTTAAAAGCAAAATATATAGAAATGTTCCTTTGATCACGAGGAATCGAATGGTACTATTTTTATCGAAGACAGATCGAGTTTTCACCTTCATCTTCGCCGCACAGCAAACTGAATGCTCTGCCATTTTAGATAAAGAAACATGTTGACATTAAAAAAGCAGATTTGAATATACCTCAGATGATTTGATTAGAGCTCTACCATTTAGTGCTTTTTCTTATGTGACATACAGAACTCTGCATGCGAGATATATCTGCCTATGCGAGAAAATGAAAAGAATATTTTTTCTATATTTCTCTCTTTTTTTGTCTTCGATGAATGATCATTCCAAGTAGAAGTGAAAATAAAACTTCTTTCAATACAGCAATTGCTTTTACAAGCGGAGTAATTTCATTATTCTCACCTTATTTTTGAACTTTTTCCAAAACGTCTTCCACCATTGTGTAGCTGAAAGTCTCAGTAATAGAATGAAAAAAAGGAGTTAGACTTTAGCATTTGAAATGAGGGAGATCTTAGCAGTATAATACATTCTGCTTTATATATTAAATTGAAGGCTAAATAATTTAAGCAAGGAAGGCATTTTATAGATTAAATATGATGCATAAACGCATAGATGTTCAGATATTCAGATAGACAATATTTTAGAAAACAAAGCCTGTCAGGTTAAAAGTAAAGATTGCCGGTGTACGTTTATGCCTCTGATGCACATTAATTTATGTTTTTCCACCTTTTTTCGTTTCGGTTCGATATCATTTTAGATAGTCAGCAGCAATTGTTTAAAGGTGAAGATGTACCTTTATTATCTCCGGAATATCAGCAAAAATTAAATGATTTTTATGGTAATCCAAAACAAAAGTGGAAATTAATTTACAAGGCAGCTCGTGATGGTTTCAAGCCGGAAGATTTTCATAAATTATGTGATAATAAGGGTCCAACAATGAGTCTGCTACAGTCTGCTAAAGGTGGTTATTTATTTGGTGGATTTACAAGACAATCGTGGACAAGTGTTTTAGGTTGCAAAAACGATTCAGAAGCATTTATGTTTACACTGAAAAATCCATATGAAATCCCACCAACAAAACTTCCAATCAAAAATTATACAATTAAATGTGCTGTTTTTCACAGAAAGACTGAGGGTCCGTCTTTTGGTGCAGGTGATCTTATCTCGAGTCCAGACTCAAATTTAAAAATAGTATCACATGTTTTTTTTCCACGTGCATACGTTGATACAACGGATAAAGATGTTGAATTATTTACTGGAATAGTACAGGGTGCCACTAAATAAACGGAACACCTACATCTATCTTGTTTTAAACGCCGAAGCGATTGAAGGCATGTGTAGAAGCAGATGGAGGCCATTTTGAATAAATCTTTTTATTTATTGTTGTTTCTGTTGTTTTGCTAGGTTTTGAATAAAAATTTGTAGAGAAAAAGCGTTTAAAACAAGATAGATGTAGGTGTTCCGTTTATTTAGTGGCACCCTGTAGATTCATTTATAATTAAAGATCTTGAAGTCTATAAGTTATGTTTAAATTGCAATGACGATAATATCTGTTTATGACATTTACAAATAATTAACATCACTTGTTCGTTGACAACATGTAGCACCATGGACCGCACTGTTCCTTTTTTTCTTTTCATTCATAATTAGATTATATGTTCTTTGCCCATATTTTGTTTTAAATTGTTACAAATCAACAAATGAAAAGCTTCTATTTATAAATAAAAAAAGAATAGCTCTCGATGAAAAACAGAAACTAAACGAATGTCACGATTTTACTATGAAATTAGTCGTTGCCCAGTCTCAGAGCGCGAATTCTAACTTCTCGAAAGCCAGCACATAACAATACAAATAATTTTATTTTTATAACAGATTTTTTTCTAACTTAATGTTCAAAAATATTAAATTACACTCCTATTATAAGATATCTCTAAACTTCTCGTTCTTTCTGATATTAATATTTGAATGCTAGTGGTCTTTGTGTTAATCCAACGTCACTGAATTGTGTTGTTTGTGTTTGATTAAAATGAGATTTGAATATATATTTCAAACAACGATTAATGCATACTTTTATTCAAACTATGGTGATTCACTTTTATTTAGAGTGTTTCCACACAGATCTTTCCAGATTTACATCGACCAAAAGCCAACAAGATTTCATCCCACTATGCCCGTTTGTGGCTTATGTAGAGTTATCTACAAATCCATATGCATGTTTTGTGACAAATATGCGAAAATTGGTCAGAAGAAAATCATAAAGCGGGATTTTATCAAAAAATGAGTCTAGGAAACGGCAACAAAATATTTCTACAGAAATCTAAATCAGTTATTTAATAGAACTGGATGTAAGTTTAAAAGGGTGCTACTAGATGCGGAAGTTAATATCAATTTCTTTATAGTCAAAATATTCGAAGATCAAGGCTTACAACTTTTTGAGTATACTAGAGCTGATGAGGTTCTTATTTCCCAATGAAACAGTAGTACAGTTGTACCCTTCAAATTTACATCATATACTCAACTTTTCAAGTTCTATCATCTACGTGAAAAGCATCCTTAACAATTTTTCAATAGAGTTAAAAATTCCAAAGAAATGTTACAATATGTGAAAATTCACTATATGGATAGATTCGAATTTATTTAACAACAATTTACTGTGAGTAACGATGGATGAGAATTGAATTCAATATTCTCAAGTTCAATATCCTTTTCATCAACTCTTTAACCAAAATAAAATATCATTTTGATGTAATTTATCCAAAAATCGATAACAGAAAGGAAAAATTTTAAAAAATTGAGAATTTATATATTTACGCACAAAGTCTATGAATAGTTATTATTTTTTTATTAACAAAAAAAAAGAGTAATAATAGAAGTTTTCGAGTGAAAAACTTCGTTTAATCACTAGCACATAACAAAGTAGATTCAACAAAAATAACAAGAAACCCAAAAGATTTGTATCTGAATCCAAATCTTATCGCGTTCTCACCGGAATCTTATTGCCGTTTCATATCTTTACTCCATAGGTTGATTTTTGTCGTCATCGTCGTCGAGATATGGATCTAAACAAATTTGAATATTTAGATATTGAATATTTGCAAACAGAATTAGTTACATACCATCTTCGTTATTATCATTATGTTCTCTTGCAAGTCCTGATGGATTTGGATAATGTCCGTGTTGATTTAAACCATAACCATGACCATAACCACCGTAGTAAGTTTCTTCTTCTTCCTCTGCTTCGTTGTCATTATTTCCATAATCAATGTCTAAAATAAAAATTGAGCTCAGTTACAGATATTTTTCATGTCGATTTCACGCACCTGAGCCTTCTTCATCATCTTCTACCACATTATTCAATGGATCTGGGTGTAATGCTTGACATTGAGCAATTGTCTGATAGGCTGTTTTAAGCTGATCACTATCAGTCAATATAAAACGATAATTGACAGTTTGAATAGCATCATGCTCAACCGGTAATTCATGTACACTCTCTCCACTACCGTTTTCTTGTACCCCATTAGTAGCTTCTAAAAGAATATATATCTTTTTCAATTTAAGGGGGGGTCCCCCCCACCCGTTTTTTTTAAGCAGTTTGTGGAGGACACTTCGAAGTATACGTCTCAACAAAGCTTTCAGTTCCCGGATTTATAGTTTTTGATAAAAAAAATTTTTA